TCAGCTGCAGCAGGAAGTTTATCCTGCAGTAAGGGCTGCACAGAGGTGCAGGAGGAAGTTTTTCTGCAGCTCTGGGCTGCACAAATGTGCAGCAGGTGCTAAATAATTTAAAATGATTTATTTTAAATAAAACTTCTATGCCAGTCATGAGAGTCATTTATAAAATTCTTGTTATGTTTAAGTTTTGATCTAAACAGCTGCTCTGTCATATCCCAACATAAGTCTTAGTTTAAAACACTGCCATGAAAGGTGGTGGGTGAAATGCATTCCTTCAAGGATGTTTGAGAAGGAATAAAAGACGAGCTGACTTTAACAAAACTCTATACCTGCCCACTTTCTGCAAACCGTTCACCCCTCCTTTCTCTTATTGCACATGTGTAAGACAAGAGAAACCTTGCACCTCTTGTGTGCGTGCGTCTACGAAGTGCCCTCCCACCGCAGGTGTTCCTCCTCCTCTCCACTCCCTCAGGCATTCCAGTGTTAAACATTTGCGGTTGATAAGATGTGGGCAGGTTTTCCTTAAACACTCGTCCATTATAGATCTTTTATGAAGTAACCAAATTTATGTGTTTCATGCATGAGGAGGGCATCTAGGAAGGGATCTAAACAAAGAAGGACAAGCCTCGGGCAGTCATGGGGGCTCAGGAGGCTGGATCAGATGGGAATGGACCGCAAAGGTAAAGAATCACTCTACTCCCTACAGTTCTGCTCAAAACTCGTCTTTAGACTACACAAAACCACTAATATCAACCTGACACACCACCTGCTTTGTTGTATTTACAGGTCTACAACTTCGTTTTCATGATTCTGATTTTCACTATGTAAAAACAGACTAAACGTTTGATTGGTTGTAGTTGATGCGGGTTGGTTTGCACTTTGAGCCCTAAAAAAATCTCTGAAACACTACATGAATACAAAATTTAAACAACAAATGTATACTTTTTTCATTTTCAGTCACAACAAATAGCATTTAATTATCAAAAACTGATGTGTTTTAAAATTTTATTTTAAGATGTGGTTCCTTATAAAAAACAAAATTAAGGACATTCATTGCAAAGAAATGAAGACCAGTCATAAATTCATAGCGTAAGAAACAAAATCCACACAGTTCTCTTCACATTGAGAGTTTAAGTGATTGTAAATTTGTGAATGGCTGTGAACTACCACCTGTGTTTGTTTTCCTTCAGCCAAAGTGGACTAAAACTGGTTACCAATGGCAACGTCAAACAAAGGGGTGTCAGGGATGAAGAAGTCTGAAAGATTTTATGTCTATACTTGTGCCCAGATTTGTTAATTAGAAGTGATTGTTAACATTTAGTGGGTACCTGCGTTTCAGAATTGTGTATCTACATATCTGGAAAACAACTGGAGTAAATCTAATAAGTTTGAGTCAGGTCCTCTGGACGGGTTCTTCTCTGTTGAAACATTTTGTCTTGTATCCAAAGGACTTCTTCAGTCTGAGGAGCTGCAAGCAAACAGACTTAGTCTCAATCTAATAAACAGCACCTTCACATAGTGGATCAGCAAGCCCTCTGTGAATACACAGTTCCCACAGGTCTCAACCGATATTGTGCAACACCACTTTCCCACCATTTAAGTACTGTTGACAAGTGCAAAAACTGCATTTTATAAAGTTGAAATCTTTTACGTGAATATTTTTTTTATTATACATAATTATGCTTATTTTTTTTGTTATGATGTGAAATATTTGTTTACAACTGCTTTTATTCTTGTGCTGACTTCATGAGAACACATGAATGAAAGCTCTTTTAAACAAAAATTGAATTTTGCTTTCCTGTGCTTTCATAAGGGGGTGTGAATTGATATTTGTAGGCAATGAACCTTATCAAAATACATGCGTATTCAGATTGAAACACTTTGTGTGATGTGTTTGTTTGCCTTTAAGTTCAATTCAGTTCGGTTTATTTATTTAGCACCAAGTCACAACAGAAGTCATCTCAAGGCATTGAACAGAAACATTTATATATAAAAATTATAATTTAACATTATTTATCTGAGGAGCAGACTGCTTTGAGTTTAACTCCATCGCAGAACTCTCATCTTGAGCAAGCATGAAGGCGACAGTGGAAAGGAAAAACTCCCTCAAGAGGAAGAAACCTTTAGCAGAACCAGGCTAAGGACAAGAGGCCATCTGCTTTGACCGGATGGATTTGGTAGGAATAGATACACAATGGCAGGTCACGAATCACATGTTAAGATAGAAATAATATGAAATGAAAACTATTCAGTTTTAACAAGTCATTTAAGGAAATTAGGTCAATTTGTCCTCTAGTAGTCTAAGCGTAAGGCAGCATTACAAGCCAACCTTAACTATAGGATTATCAAAAAGGAAAGTCTTAAGCCCAGTCTTAAAACTGAACAATGTGTCAGCCTCACGGACAGAAACTGGAAGTTGTTTCCACAAGGAGCCTGATAACTGAAAGATCTTCCTCCCATTCTGCTTTTGGAAACTCTAGGGACCGCGAGTAAGCCTGCAGTCTAAGAGCAAAGTGCTCTGTTAGGAAAATATGTAACAATAAGAACAAAGTCCATGCTCAATAATCCAGGTATATAAGCCAACATTTTTCAGTCAGGTCATCTGGACAGTTTCTATTTTTGTGCTGAAACGTTTTGCCTTCGATCCGGAAGGCTTCATCAGTCAAGGAAACACAACAAAACTGATTCTTCCCCCAACAGCTTACTCCAAAGTGGAACAAACCAGTTTTGCTTGTGATAAGATGGTCTCTTTGGTATGGCCCCTCCTCCATTGCCAGCCCTCTTCCTTGTCGACAGTCGTGTCCATCGAGACAATGACAGTGAGACCTGGAGGGGTGTGGTTGGGAGGAACACCCCGATCTGAACCCGAGTGGTGTTCTGTTGTTGGACTTCTGTTCTCGTCATGGATTGTCCATAACAAGCACCATGTTCAAGCATAAGGGTGTCCATATGTGCTCTTGGCACCAGGACACCTTAGGCCGCAGTTTGATGATCAACTTTGTCGTCGTCTCATCTGATCTGCGGCCACATGTCTTGGACACTCGGGTGAAGAGAGGGGCGGAGCTGTCCACTGATCACTACCTGGTTGTGAGTTGGCTCCGATGGTGGGGGAGGATGCCGGTCAGACCTGGCAGGCCCAAACGTATTGTGAGGGTTTGCTGGGAACGTCTGGCAGAGTCTATTGTGAGACAGAGCTTTAACTCCCACCTCCAGGAGAACTTCAAACATGTTCTGGGGGAGGTAGGGGACATTGAGTCTGAGTGGGCCATGTTCTGTGCCTCTATTGTCAAGGTGGCTTACCGGAACTGCAGCCGCAAGGTTGTCAGTGCCTGTCGCGGCGGCAACCCTCGAACCCGGCGGTGGACACCGGTGGTGAGGGATGCTGTCAGGCTGAAGAAGGAGTCCTATTGGGCCTTTTTGGCCTGTGGGACCCCGGAAGCAGCTGATGGGTACCGGCAGTCCAAGCGACATGCAACTCGGGTGGTCGCCGAGGCAAAAACTCGGGCATGGGAGGAGTTTGGAGAGGCCATGGAGAATGACTTCCACACAATTTCAAGGCGATTCTGGTCCACCATCCGGCGTCTCAGCGGGTGGAAGCGGTACACCACCAACACTGTTTATAGTGGGGGTGGTGTTCTGCTGACCTCAACTCGGGATGTCGTTGGTCGGTGGGTGGAATACTTTGAAGACCTCCTCAATCCCACCAGCACATCTTTCACTGAGGAAGTGGAGCCTGGGGACTCTGGGTCAGGCCCTCCAATCTCTGGTGCTGAGGTCACCCAAGTGGTTAAAAAGCTCCTCGGTGGCAGGGCCCCAGGGGTGGATGAGATTTGCCCGGAGTTCCTTAAGGCTCTGGATGTTGTAGGGTTGTATTGGCTTACGCGACTCTGCAATATTGCGTGGACATCAGGGGAAGTTCCCCTGGATTGGCAGACCAGGGTCGTGGTCCCCCTATTCAAAAAGGGGGACCGTAGAGTGTGTTCCAACTACAGGGGGATCACGCTCTCAAGCCTCCCTGGTAAGGTCTATTAGGGGGTTCTGGAGAGGACGGTTCATCGGATAGTCGAACCTCAGATTCAGGAGGAGCAGTGCGTTTTTTTGTCCTGGTCGTGGAACACTGGACCAGCTCTACACTCTCAGCAGGGTCCTGGAGGGTGTGTGGGAGTTTGCCCAACGAGTCTTCATGTGCTTTGTGGACTTGGAGAAGGCGTTCGACCGCGTCCCTTGGGGAACCCTGTGGGGGGTACTCTGGGAGTATGGGGTACCAGGCCCTTTGAGACGGGCTGTTAGGTCCCTGTATGACCGGTGTCAGAGCCTGGTCCACATTGCCGGCAGTAAGTCGGGCTCGTTCCCGGCGAGAGTTGGACTCTGCCAAGGTTGCCCTTTGTTACGATTCTGTTCATAACTTTTATGGACAGAATTTCTAGGCGCAGCCAAGGTGTTGAGGGGATCCGTTTTGGTGGCCTTAGGATTGCGTCTCTGCTTTTTGCAGATGATGTGGTCCTGTTGGCTTCATCAGATCGTGATCTACAGCTTTCGCTGGAGCGGTTCGCAGCCGAGTGTGACACAGCCGGGATGAAGATCAGTTCCTCCAAATCTGAGGCCATGATCTTGAGTCGGAAAAGGGTAGAGTGCCCTCTCCGGGTCAGGGAGGAGGTCCTGCCCCAAGTGGAGGAGTTAAGTATCTTGGGGTCTTGTTCACGAATGAGGGAAAAATGGAGCGTGAGATCGATAGGCGGATAGGTGCAGCGTCTGCAGTGAAGCGGGCGCTGTACAGGTCTGTTGTGGTGAAGAGAGAGCTGAGTCAAAAGGCGAAGCTCTCAATTTACAGATCGATCTATGTTCCTACCCTCATCTATGGTCATGAGCTTTGGGTTGTGACCGAAAGAACGAGATCTTGGATACAAGCGGCCGAAATGAGTTTTCTCCGCAGGGTGTCTGGACTCCCCCTTAGAGATAGGGTGAGAAGCTCGGTCATCCGGGAGGGACTCAGAGTAGAGCCGCTGCTTCTCCACGTCGAGAGAAGCCAGTTGAGGTGGCTCGGGCATCTGGTTAGGATGCTTCCTGGACACCTCCCTGATGAAGTGTTCCGAACACGTCCCGCCAGGAGGAGACCCAGAGGAAGACCCAGGACAAGCTGGAGGGACTATGTTTCTCGGCTGGCCTGGGAACGCCTCGGGATTCCCCCGGAGGAGCTGGCCCAAGTGGCTGGGGAGAGGGAAGTCTAGTCCTCCCTACTTAAGTTGCTACTCCGACCCGACCTCGGATAAGCGGAAGAAAATGGATGAATGAATGGATGAATGGATGGATGAGTAACATTTTCATTGTAATGTCATCTCTACTATGCATTATTTTAATGCACATAAATAAAACGTGTGGTGATTGTTCTTTGACATTTTATCAATTTATTATGTGTTTTATGTACAAAACATAAAATACACAATCTAACAAAGTCAAGTCAGGTCCTCTGGACGGATTCTTCTCGTAAAACATCTCATCTTTTATCCAAAAGACTTTGTCAGTGGAAGGGCCAACTGTCCTCTTCTTACAATGCTGTTACTGCTAGTGTTACTCAGCCCCTGTGAATAGCAAGCGGTCATCAGGGCACTAAAGACCAATTGTTAGGCTGATTGTATACCTGGATTATCGAGCATGGACTTTGTTGTTTTCAACCAGTTTG